CAGGTAATAAAACGCAGATATTCAGCCCTGTGACTATCAAAAGCCCCATTCAGCCTTCTGACCAGACTCCTCAAATTTATATTAATTACTGTTGATCTTGGCTCCCAGCAGTACTGGCCAGTTATTTTAACCTTTTGCTACACTCTGTTTCCCTTGTCTTGAACCCAGGTCAGCGTGGTTAGGTTGCAGTTGGGCATTTCGGGTAGGAATCCCGTGGGAGTGATGCTGTGTCCTTCTCAGAAGGTACAGTGTGTCCGTTTGGGTTTGTCTGGTATTTTCTCGTGGTTAGGTTGCGGTTGGGCATTTCGGGTAGGAATCCCGTGGGAGTGATGCTGTGTCCTCTGTTTGGGTTTGTCTGGTATTTTCTCGTGGTTAGGTTGCGGTTGGGCATTTCGGGTAGGAATCCCGTGGGAGTGATGCTGTGTCCTTCTCAGAAGGTACGCTGTGTCCGTGTGTCCTGTCCCTGGTGATTGATGTGAGTCTTGATCACGTGGTTGAGGTCATGTCTGCCCATTTCTCCCCTGCGATGCTCTGTGTTTTCATTTGCACTTAATAAATATCTTGGGGAAGATACTTGGGGACTGTGCACCTATCCTGTTTCTCCTCAAACTTTTGCCTCCTAATTTTAGTATCCAGCCATGGATCTTGCCTGTGACAGTTACTACAGACGTGTTTTGGTTTTTTTTTAAATGTTTATTGTTAATTACTTAGTATAATCCCCTCTCTAGAGGTGGTCAGTATTAATTTTGGACTAGATATTTTTTAAAATATATATTTTATTGATTTTTTTACAGATAGGAAGGGAGAGAGATAGAGAGTTAGAAACATCGATCAGCTGCCTCCTGCACACTCCCTCCTGGGATCCCCGCAACCAAGGTACGTGGCCTTGGCCGGAATCGAACCTGGGACCCTTCTGTCCGCAGGCTGATGCTCTAGCCACTGAGCCAAACCGGTTAGGGCACTACAGACGTGTTTTAATGGTGATTCTTCCGTTCCTTCATTCTTTCTGCGTTTATTAGTCAGTGTATGAGCGAGCTGCCCCTCTCTCCTGTTTACTTATTTATTCAGTTATTTATATATCATAAGGACCCATAGATATTTACTTATTATAGATTATAATCCAATACAACAGCTATTTCTTTTGTTGCTCAGATTGTTCGAGATTCAGCCCCTGAGAGTTCAGAATGAAAGTGTTTATTGTGAAAGTTTTTAACCATCACAGAAAAGCTGACAGGTAGGTAGTACAAGGAAAACCTGTCGACCTTTCACCCAGATCCAGCGATTCTTAGCATCTGACCGTGTTTGCTTTCTCCCTCCCTCTCTTTCCTCTGCCCCCCTCCTGCCGTGTTTTCACAAATGTGCCATCTGTTGTTGTTTTTTATTGAGGTTAATTTGCAGTTAATCTTTCCATGTCATCCGGGGTTGGTGGCAAAATGTAAGTGGCCAGCTCTTTGTCCCCTGGAGACTGTACCCGCTGCCCTGTCCAGACCCCAGGTTTGTTCTGCACTCTGCGCCATGATTTTTTTTTTAGCAGCTTATTGAGATGTAATTCACATACTATCCATTTAAAGTATACAATTCAGTGGTTTTTAGTACCGATAGGTACAACCATCGCCGCGGCCAGTTCTAGAGCATTTCATCACCACAAAGAGAAACCCCATATTCTTTAGCTATTTATTACCTGGCCTCCTCCCCAGTAAGCCCCAGACAGCCACTGATGTACTTTCTGTCGTGATAGATTTGCCTACTCTGGGCATTTCACAGAAATGGAATCACATGCTGTGGTCTTTTGTTACGGGCTTATTTTAGCATAAGGTTTTCAAGGTTCTTCATGTTGTAGCATCCATCAGTATTTCGTTCTTTTTTAAAAAATATATATTTTATTGATTTTCTACAGAGAGGAAGGGAGAGGGATAGAGAGTTAGAAACACCGATGAGAGAGAAACATCGATCAGCTGCCTGCTGCACACCCCCTATTGGGGATGTGCCCGCAACCAAGGTACCTGCGCTTGACCGGAATCGAACCTGGGACCCTTCAGTCTGTAGGCCGACGCTCTGTCCACTGAGCCAAACCGGTTAGGGCAGTATTTCATTCTCTTTTATAGCTGAGTAAATTGCACTGTATGGTTTTACCATCTTTCGTTTTTCCATTCATCAGTTGATGGCCATTTGGGTTGTTCCTACCTTTTGGCTATTGTGAGCAGTGCTGCTATGAACATCTGTGTGCAAGTTTTTGTTTGAACACTTGTTTTCAATTTTTTGGGGGATATACCCAGGAGTGGACTTGTTGGGTCATAAGGTAATTTCATATTTAACATTTTGAGGAACTTCCAAACTGTTTTCTACAGTGGCTTCACCATTTTACATTCATACCAGCAATAACAAGAGTTAGAACCCAACCAGGATAGAACCCGAAACCCAGGTATGTGTCCTGACCGGAATCAAACATGCAACCTCCTGGCAGACATGACAGCGCTCCAACCAACTGAGCCACACCGGCCAGGGCTCATTGTGTGTTGTTGTTGTTGTTCTTCTTCTTCTTCTTTATGCTACAAAATGTATTTATTTCCAGCCAGATAAAATTCTCCAACTGCATATATGGGTACATATTTTAAGTTCCTTCTTTGATAAATGTCCCGTTCACAAGAGCCATTCCGATGATTAAAATGCATATCAGACAACTACCTCCGTCTCTTAAGATATAATTTAAATAAGCTGCTAATGTCTAAGCCGTAGTCTGGTTATTGACGTGAGTGGCAAGCAATTCTTCACTGAGGAGTCCAGAGCAATAGTGATGCTGCTCCACCGTGAGATCCCACGAGTCAGCAGGCAGCAAGCCCCTCTAGTTCACCTGCTGATGGTGGGGTAGTTGCTGTGGGCCGTGAGCCTTGTGTGAGCACAGAGTTAAGTACCGACAAAGAAGGATGCCATGTGCAAGGCGGAGAGGTGTTTCACAGAACGCGAGCACCATTCGGGCGAGTTAATGGGCTGTAGAATGAAAGCTTGGGGAACGCAAATCTGTTTGCACTCGCCCACTGGGCACTCAATACATATCAAGGTAAGGAGAGAGAATAAATTGGAATGTTGTCTTGGTGCCTAACTTCTGTTTTCGAGATTGAGCTTTAGGCCCTAGCTCGTTTGGTTCAGTGGTTGGAGCGTCAGCCTGCAGACTGAAAGGTCGAGGATTCGATTTCGGTCAAGGGCATGTACCTTGTTTGCAGGCTGCGATGGGGGGTGGGAGGCAGTCGGAGTGTGTGCAAGAGGCAACCAATTGATGTGTCTCTCACATCGGTGCTTCTCTTTCTCTGTCTCTCCCCCTTCCTTCCATTCTTTCTAAGAAATCAATGGGAAAAAATATCATTGGGTGAAGATTAACAACAAAAGATTGAGCTTTAGGTTATGAATTTTTTATATACCATTTTTTGTGGGTTTTTTTTTCAGCGCAGATCATTCTATTTGGAAAGCCATCCATTTCCCTATCTTTAGATTCTTCATTAGCATTTAGAGACTTCTTGCAGACTGCCAGGCTTAGGGGCTCATTGGCTTAAAGAAGAGCGCAGATCGGTCCGCACAAAGGCTTGATTTGGTTCTTGAAAATATTCTGTTTGGCTGGGGCAGAGGGTGCGGAGTGGGGCTGGTGATGGGGCAGGGTGTCTGCCTGGGGGAGGCATGGGCTTGGACACGGGGGCGGATGCCAAGTGTTTCCCTTCGTCTGGAGACACATTGGCCCAGGTGGGGTAGAGCCTGCGGATGGATGGCCATGAACTCCAGGTGGGGACCTGGGCTTGATGTGCACGGGTCTGAGCAGAGCCGGGCTGTGGAGTGCCCATCTGGTGGCAGGGTAGACTGGGTCTGGATGGAGAGCTTGGAGGCAGGGGAACCACTTGGGATCATAGGGTGACTGAGGTCTGGGGGAGCACCTAGGTCAGGCAGTGGGAATGGTGGGGAGCAGGGGCCGTCCAAGACCTGTGCCTTCCTGCCTCTCTGCTCTGTGGGCATTGGGTGGGACGAGAGCAGCACTTGAGACAGGGTCGCGGAGGCCTCTGTCGCGCATGTCCTGGGCCTCGCACCTCTACTCCCAGCCGCTGCTCTGGGAACCCCACGCCAGGCTGCCTTCTCTGCACCAGCCCCGGGCTTCTCAGAACTGCTGGTTGGCCAGTCCCCGCACGTCTCAGCTTCTGTGAACTCCGGGCACACTCCTGCGTTCTGGGAACACGGTGGATGCCTGGAGGGTGCCCCCCGGCCCATTGCTTTCATTGGGCGCCAGATGCTGAATGAGGCAGAGAGGGTGATAGAAAGGGCCTGGGCTCAGCTTAGTCAATTGAGCCAAACTGAGTGTCAGGGGCCAGCTGGGTGGCCTTGAGAGAGAGGCTTTGCCTCCCAAAAGTTGGGTCTGCGCCCCTTCTCTGGAAGAGAGGGGGGCATGCCATCCCCTGGGGATTGTGATAAACTCAGGTGGTCTGCCAGCCAAAGCACCCGGCAGGCAGGCAGTTTCCTGTAGAGCCGGCTGCTGTCCCTTCCCCGTTTGGTAGCTCAGGGTTAAGCTGAGCATATGCAGGCATGTTTTAATGTGTGGGCTCCCCCTGAAAACCTTGCAAATGACTAGCAAAATGCTAGTGGCTCTGTTTGGCCTTTCCCCTGCTCATCTTCTCTCTGGGGGTTTCCCCTCTCTCAGGTCCCCTCCAACCATTGCCTGAGACCCCAGCAGTCCTCGCTATGGTGGTTCATGATGGGCACCCCCACTTGTTTGGGGTCTCAGCCTCTGCTGGCGGAACGGGGGGTGTGCAGAGAGGTAGACAGCTGGTCTCCAGGCAGCACGGCACTTAACCTTGGAGTTGGAACAGAGAAACGTCTGTTTGTGTTTCCATGAATGAGCGGGGCAGCTGGCCCGCAGATAGCAGGCTGGGTCAGCCGGGGGTTGCCTTGGCTACTGGCTCTGAGCAAACAGCCAGGGGCAGGGTCCTGCCCAGCTCCGCTGAAGCGGCGGAAGGAGGAGGAAGTCCCTGGCAGAGCCCCACAGAGCCACCCTGAGAGCTGGCGCGCCGCTGGGGCCGTGCGGGGCACTGGGAAGCCAGCGTGTGGGGAGCTGCTCTGGGACCAGGAGGACTGCCCCTGTCAGCACACCTGAGGATTGGACTTACCCAGCAGGTGAGGAGGGTGGTCTGCGTTCCTTCCGGAAGCTTCTCTGCTTCACAGAGAGGTTTCTCTTGGGCTCCTCCACCAAGCAGCTCACAGGTGGGATCTAAAATCAGATTTTCTCTGCAAAAATTCCCTTTGCCCGGGACTTGCCACATGCACACACATTGCAGGCATGGCAGCAGGCGTGTGTTTCTGCACTAAAAGACAGACAGCATGAACCCCCCAGCGTGAACCAGGGGCCTGGCCGCCCCCGGAGGACCTAGCCATTTTCTGAGCAGAGAATCCCTGGGGCCGGACACCTGCTTACCCTGAGGCCTGATTTCATTCTGATAACCTTCCTGTCAGGTTCTCATTCCATCTCCTGTCCTTTTTTTGTGCTACCAGCCCCCTATCTGACAGTCTGGTGAAGCCTTTGGAAACTTTCTCAAAAATAATGGTTTTAAATGCACAAACAGGTTCTAGAGGAAACCAATTAAATTGACTTAGAGCTATTAGAATGTGTTTTTAAAAAGCAGGTTTTTGATATAGCAATCTGCGTGCTTCCTCGCCGAAGCATTACATAAACAGCCTTGTGGTGGGTGGGTCTAATAACTACTATAATTTAAAAGCAGTGATAAGCATAAATAATATTTCAACTTATCTGTAACACTGTATTGTGATATAAAAGCAGCTGAGACTCTGGTGAAGGACCCAGGCACAGGTAGTAATAATGCTGTGGTGTGTTGCTGATATTCCTAAGTAAAGGCAAGAGAAATTTTCCGTTGTAGGTTAGTGAAACATAAAGAGATCATTTGTTCCCATCCAAGTTCACCGCTCGCCTGTTAAAAACTCCCCAGACAAGCAGTGACCAGAGGAGATGCTTTTCCTGTGTCCTCTCCTGGCATCCATCATGGGAGCTCTCTGTCCTGGTCCTCAGCACTCAGGGCCTCCAGGGGCCACTTCAGAACAGCTTCACGGTCCATGCACACATACCAAGGGGTCCACGGTGCCTGCTGCCATCCACCCCCCAAGGTTAGGCTCTGGGTTCTGTTTCCCCATGTAGAAGGGGGTGAATTTTGTCCCCCAAAAGTTTATGTTGAAGTCCTAACCCCCAGATCCTACGAATGTGACCTCATTTGGAGATAGCGGCATTGCAGGTGTAGTTCGTTAAGATGAGGTCATATCGGCCTCTCCTTTATCTGAATCCAACATGACAAGTGTCCTTAGAAGAGGAAGAGAGACGGCAGAGGGAAGACAGCCGCGTGAAGGCCAGAGGCACAGGGAGGGGGCCATGTGGAGGCGCAGAGGGAAGGAGGCCTGTGAAGATGAAGACTGAGGTTGGCGCGATGCGGCCGCAAGCCGAGGATTGCCGGCAACCCCAGCCGCTGGAGTAGCCACGGGGCAGATACCTCCCCAGATCCTTCAGAGAGAATCCTGCCCCACCAACATCTTGGTCTGGGGTTCTGGGCTCTAGAACTGTCCCAAGCCCCCCATCTTGTGTCGTTCGTTAAGAGGCCCTAGAAGGCTAACGCCATGCGGCCCTGGGAGCACTCGCCCCACAGCCAGCCTGGGAGGCTTCCCTCCTCCCTGTTCCCGAGGAGTCTGGTTACCCTGTAGCCTCAGCTGGGTGATCGCCTTGCCTGGGGGCGTCTCCCTGCCCTGCCTCAGGCCTTTCAGAAACGGCCTCTGGGACACGTAGGCAGAGCCCGTGGCTGCCGAAAAGTCGGGAGGCTGGCCCCTGCAGGGGAGGGGCCGGGGGGGATGCTCTGCGTCTCATCTCACCTGGAGGCTTGGCGAAGCATTTCAGCCTGGGAGTGAGAAAACGGCCTTCGCTTGACAAAAAGACAGGCAGGGATCTGGTCCGCCGGAATGGGTGTGCCAGGGGAGCATTTACTTTCCTGGGGAGGAGACCCCGCAGTGATGAGTGGGGGACGTCTCCCGGGGCCACAAAAAGCAGCCCTGCCCACCGGGCAGCGAACTGAGATGCAGGCTCGTGCCTGGGCATCGTCGGCACTCGGTGAGTGTCTGTTGAACGAAGGAGAGTGATGAAGCCCAGTGGCTGCTGCCTGCCCTTCTGGGGACAGAGCAGATGCTTAGCTCTCTACTCGGCGGGGATGTGCCACGGGCGGGCCGCGGGCGTCCGGGCTGATGCTCCTCCAAGGGCACAGACAGGAAAGGCTGCAGGGGCTGTAGGGTTTCAGAGAGCCCCACCCGAGAGGAGGACGCTGAGCCGGGGGACGCGGACAGGGCGGGTGCCTTGGTCGGTCAGACTCTCACCGAATCCTCCGTAGAAGGGGATGGCTGGAAAGCATTCACCCATCATCCCACCCATCACCCTGCTCCACCAGCGCGTGGCCTCGGCGTTTTCCACGCAGGTCTGTGCCGACAGGGCGCCTGCCATCGGTTTCCACTCCTGCACCTGGTCTTGCCGTCACTCTTTCCAGGTCATTTGTCATGTTGCCATTGACTTGCCCGGTGGTGCCACGGTTGCCCATTCCTCCCGTTGGAGTCCTTCCTAGATTTCCCGTGGTTTTCTTTGGTGTGACCCACCTGGCAGAGGCCGGGGTCACAGGTGAGACCTGGTCAGCGCACGGCCCGCGGGGCTGGGAGGAAGGCGGGTGAAGGCGCGGCAGGTCACACTGCAGGGCCTTCGCGTCCAGGCCGGGACTGGGCGCCAGTCCATGGGCGCGGTGGGCTCCCGGGGGGAGTGAACGTGTGCTGGCCACCTGCCGCCGTGCTTCGGGCCCTGTGAGCCCGGGGACCCCAAGGCGCATCCTGAGGGCTGCAGTCTTCCTAGGGTGACAGGGAAAGTGCCCCTCGGATACAAGGAGAATGAGGTGCTAGGGGAGCCCTGGCCGGTTTGGCTCAGTGGATGGAGTGTTGGCCTTTGGACTGGAGGGTCCTGGGCTTGATTCCAGTCAAGGGCACGTACCTGGGTTGCAGGCTCGATTCCCAACTCAGGTCGGGGCATGTGTGGGAGGCAGCTGATCAATGTATCTTACATCGATGTTTCTCTCTCTCCCTTTCCCTCCCCCCCTCTCTGAAAATCAATGGAAAAATATCCTCAGGTGGGGATTAACAAAGAAAAAGAAATGCTGGTGGGAGGCAATGGGTTGATTTCCAATGGGAGTTGAGTGGGGAGGAGCTGGAGAATTCTGAGAGGACGGTGCTGGGCCTCTGGGTAGACAGGGTGCAGGAAAGGCGGTTCCGTAAGAAGTTCCTGGGAGAAGGCTGAGCAGCCAAGCCCGTCCGGTTCCAGGTGCCTAGAGCGTGAGTTTGTGGAGGGAGGTGGCGGCGGTGAGACTGGAGGGCAGTGTGGGCCTGCTCGTGGATGCCTGGAGTGCGGCCTGGCTTCTTCCTTTGGCGGTGGGGAGCCACGGAAGGCTTTTGAGCATGGCCTGGCCTAGGCTTTAAGGACAACCTCTCTGGCTGCAAGTGAAGGGAGTGAGAGGAGCCACAGGAGGTCCAGAGGCCATTGGGAAGCTTTTGCCACAGTCTGAGCAGGAGTGGGAGGGAACCAAACGGGGCGCGGGCAGTAGCTTCCCTGGGCTCCTGTCATCTCCTGCAGCCCCTGGAGCCCGCCTCCTGCGTAATCAGCCCCAGACCCCAGAGATGCTCCTTGGGGTTTCAGACAGGCCTTTGGGGCCCCCTGTCTGAATCGTTTATCCTCCCACTGCGGGCGGCAGGCGGAGGAAATGTCGATGTGTCGGCTCACCTTATCTTGCTGCTGTTATCATGTTTCCCGTGTCATAGTAACAGAGCAGATGCCAGGGCTGTTGCTAGGGTTCCCTGGAATATTAATACCTGGGTGTAGAGCCGGCGGCTCTCACAGGTGTCGCCGAGGCCTCGGGAAGCACTGCTTGGTGGCAAGTATTCTTTCCTATTTGTCCCTGCTTTTTCTCCCTCCTGTGGGCCTCCCCTCCTCCCCGCTACGCAGCCCCTGCACAGCCAGCTGTCTGGATGGCAAGCCTGGCAGTAGCGGCCGTGCCACCCGCCACTCTCCCCTCCCACGCCCAGGGCAGGCATGACTGCAGGTCACACGCCTTCCCTGCAGAGGCGGGGGCAGGCTCCGTGTCTGCCCGGTGCAGCTCCGCAGGCCTCAGCTCAGGCCTGGCCCTGGCGTGGAGCCTCTTCTCCGGCCCCGCACGGGCCCCTGAGCAGGCTCCGGGCCCTTCTCAGACCCCTCTCCTCGGGCTCGGGCTCTGGCATGGGAGGGGGAGTGGACTGGGTGGTGGTGTTTTTTAATTGTATTATTTTATTTTATTGATTTTTTTTAAGAGAGAGGAAGGGAGAGGGAGAGAGAGAGAAACATCAGTGAGAGAGAAACATTGATCAACTGCCTCCTGCACACCCCCTACTGGGGATTGAGCCCGCGACCCAGGCATGTGCCCTGACACAGGGAATCGAGCAGGTGACCCTCCAGGGGTACACGAGATGGTGCCCCACCGGCCGGCAGCAGAGTGGGTTTTCCTCGCCTCTCGGGTCTCCTGTTCGCCTCCCCGTCTGGTCTCTTGGCCTTTCCACTGCTCACACGTCTGAACATCAAGCTCTGAGCAGCTCTGAGAGGGTTTGGCCAGGGACGGAGGTCAGGGATGGGGTTTTCTGCGCCAAATGCCATTTGTATGAGCTACATGTTGCCATGATAATGCTGCATAAAACCACCCCCAAACTCGGTGGTTCACAGCATTTGCTTATTGCTCCTGAGTCTGTGGGCCGGCCGCTGCTCTTGGCTGGGCCGCACCTGTCATTCCTCAGGGCTCGGCAGCTCGGGGAAAACGCTTCGTCCCCTCGGTCTCCAGCACTTGCTGGTGCCCTGTGCTTGCCTTTGCACACAGTCCCCTCCTAGCCCCGCGGTTCCCTTCAGCCCTTCCATTCCACCCTCCTCTTCCCGCTGTTCTCCCTGTAGCATCTCTTCTCTTCCCACGAGGCAGGACATCCACCCGACACCCTTGATTCAGTGAAAGTTCCCCAGAGATAAAATCAAGGCAGAGAGAATGCCGGGTCTAAAGGTGGGAGAGAGAACCACGCCA